TCTGGATTTCTATCTGTAGATTTAGAATCATTTCTAATTTTTCATTTATTTTGTCATATTGTTCTTGTATTTTCTTCCAAAATTCTTCTAAGGTTTCTTCTGTGTTTTCTTTGGTCTATCTCTCAAAACTTTGAAGATACCTAAAGATAATTCTTTTGAATTCCTTATCAGAGAGTTCCAGTGCTGCTTCTTCCTCAGGGATGTGTTCTGGGTCTGTATACTGCCGCCTTGTTTCTACCACTTTATCCTGCTTCTTTGTATGGACTGTGATGGTCTGTTGTTTCCGAGGCATCATGGTGTTGTTGTCTTTAGATCTCTGTTAACTGTTTGTGAAGAGCAGCCAAGGGTGATTCAGGCTCTTCTTGGTGGTTTTTTATCATTGGCCCATTGGTGGAGAAGGAGGTAGTGGCTGTCGCTCAGTAAGTGAAGTTGCAGGAGGTTTGGGTGTAGTTGTGTCTTATGGGGACTGTTGTCTCCCACTCAATTAGACACAAAATATAATTGAATAACCTTCAAAAAACTTTTCAGTCTTGCAGGTCTGAAAGGTCCTTGGGGTTGCTGGAAAGCAGAATGTGTTCTTAAGCCCCAGGAATCTGTGAGATCGCTGTCTCTTTAAATATCCAAAATAGCTGCTTTTAGACCTTTAAAATGGTGGTGCCCTCCATACCAGCAAAAGTCCATAGCTCAGCCTGCCTTTCTCTTCACCTTCTCTGTTTATCCCCAGCCACAGCAGCAGTCCACCATGCAGTCCCTGGCTAGCAGGGCTGATTTTTTGGTTAATTCTTAGGTTCTGTGTTATCAGAATCGCTCAGGATTGCTGCCAGACTGCAGCTCCGTATGTCTCCTTTTTGGTATTTTCATGCAAATTGTTCTGCTAGTTGGGGTTTAGTCCACTTCTATATCTTTCCCTTCAAGGCTCACGGGTCCAGGATTATCTTGTGTGTCTGTGTTAATTGGTTTCCCTTTTCTTTGTTGAAGAGGGTCTGTGCAGTCTTTCTGCCTAGTTCGCCATCTTGCCGGAACTCCTACATGGCCACTTTTAGATCGTAATCTGAAAGAGTTTTGGTACATGTATGTTGTTGTTTTTGTTATGTGCCGTCCAGTAGGCCCCGACTTATAGCGACTCTGCCTTGGGTTTCCGAGGCAGTATCACTACAGAAATAGATTGCCCAATCTTCCTTCCAAGGAGTGGCTGGTGGGTTTGAACCACCAGTCTTCTGGTTAGCAGTCAAGTGCCTTAGGCACTATGCTACCAGAGCTCCTTGGTACATGTATAGCTAAAGATTATAAGGATTTTGGGTTTTACTTTTTTTATAAAGTCATGTTTTTTAGATACTTGCTTCAAGAATAGTTTCCACTCAACTCAGCCTATCAGGGCCTCTCTCCTAGGGATTGGAATTGGGGTTTCTGAGATGCCATTGAGTGTTTGGTGGACTTTTACAGAACTGAAGTTGAGTCAGTAGTGGGGACATATATTAGGATCTTATGGCTAAGAGTTATATGTAGTAGAATTTACCCTTTTTAGTGTACATTTCTAAGTGTGTGGTAAATGCATATATTCCTGTAACCACCACTACAACCAAGATTTAGGACATTTCCATCCTCCTCAAAAGTTCCCTTATGCCCATTTGTGGTCAACTGCATTTCTCAGCAGCGGCCCTGGACACCACAGATCTGTTTTCCCCATCTGTGGTTTTGCCTTTTATAGAATGTCAATAAGACTTCTCTGACCTTTGAACTCAGGTCAGGTGACAGACTCTTTTAGGATATTGTAGCCCTTATTACAATTATAATTATATATGCAACTGATTAATAAGTTATTCAGTGCCTATATCTTCTACTGTACTGTAAGCTATGTGAGACAGAGATTGTCTGGTTGGTTTCTTATTATAACATGAATGTGCCCTTCATAAAGTATATGCTCAACAAATACATCAGTGAGTGATTGAATGACTATATGAAAGGGCTCTAAGTCACTATTGATGCAGCAAATGCAATTTGATACTCAGTGGTATCAAATCTGTCATAATATAAAGCACCCAGAGATGATATTATTCAAACATTCCTGAAAAGTATGAGTAAACTTTTGGAGTAATACTGGCTTTGATTATAAGAGATAAGAACCATTCCAGGCAATCCTAGATGCTTGATCAGTGATTCAGTGAATTAAAAGTAAGATAGAAACTCTGTTTGACACTGGCATTGCCTTTATTTTGTCCAACTACATTTAAAAACTTTATTTTGGGACTTTTACCATCCATATATTTTGCAGAAGATCTGACATTACAGTGATGCTTAAGAGCAAGATCACGAAATCCTCAAAATCAAGCTCATTTTCTGTGTGCTCTTCAAGTTCAGAAAGGATTTCTCTGTATTTTGGTTTGTTTTTTTGTCCCTGTGAGAATAAGGAAGATAAGTAAAAATTTCATTCATTGTGCCACCATGAGTTTATATATAATAAGTAATAATAAACATATTCTTAGCAAAAACACCTGTCAAGTTGCTACCAGTACTATCAGCTAAGCATTGTGTTAAATATTTTTATGAGTTATGTCATTCAATCCTCACAATAACCTATTGACTATGTACTATTGTTATTATCATTTTATAGATGCATTATCAGAGATTTAGTGAGAATTAAGGAACTTTAACTGTATATAAATGAAGTAGCTTCTCAGAGTACCCCAGTAATGTTAAAAATGTTAAGATCATTTGATTCACTCTTGTGTACTGAGCTATATTTACCCTTAGTTCTCACCTATGTGCCAGCTGTCAAATACCATCACAGCAGTGACTAAGGTACTTTGGCAGTGGTGACACATTCCTTTTACAGGATTTGAACCATTGTTTCTCTAGGCTTGTTCTCAAGAGGTCACCATTACAGTGAAGGGGAAGGGAGCTCTTTCCTTTCTCCAGAGTCCAAGAGAGCTGAATACTCGTTTGAAAGGGTCAGATTCCAAGACAGTGATTAGACTACTTTACTAGTGGAATGAGCCACTGTTTGCTCAAATGTCTGAGACAGATATAAGGTCATCTTCCATTTTTCTGCATACTGTAAGAGCAGGGTACTGGCCCAGGTTCAGTCTTCTTAGGGCATGACAAGTCATCTTTATATCTTTTTAGCAGTGTCTTTAGGTACTCTGTTCTATTATATTTTACTGGCTATTGAGTGTTAAAAGTGTGTGTCAGGGTGAAACTCTGGCTGATTTTTTTTTTTTTTTTTAATTAGATCACCAGGCCTTTCTTGGAAGGTATATATCACTGGATTCAAACTTCCAGCCTTTTGTTTAGCAGGCAAGTGCATTAACCATTTGCACTACCTAGGGACTCTCTAGGGTGTTAAGAACCAAGAATTAGTTATATTTGGACATTTGGGAAAGAACATGTTCCTCATAGAGCTCAGGCCTGAGCCAATAAGTCTAGCTCAGTTTACCAGAGAACTCTACACTGAAGTTTTAAGAAAAAGCCTAGTTAGAGATGAAGTGGGCCTCCCTGTCTTTTGCCATTGACTTGTGCCTGATAACTTAGGGAATCTCACAGAAGGGGTGATTGGCCCAAGATAGCATTCAGAAGTTAAGCCAACACCTTTGGTACTGAGAACACCCCAGGATGAACTGCTCCCTCCAGTCCCCTAACATATGTCTCTGCTGGCTGGTGCCTCTCATCACCAGCAGAAGAGCATTATGTCAAAGCTTGGATGTGTCTGCTGCTAGAAAGATCAGAAATCGTCTACGTTTTTTTGTTAGGTAATGACCTTTCTTGGCTAGAAATTAGACAATTTCTCTACTTAGGGACACAAAGCTGGAGGTGTCTTTCCTGATGAATTTGGTTTTTAATATTTCTTCTCTGATGTCCTCAGAGGGGTGATGAACAAAATCCAGATGATTCATTCACTAGGTGTTTAATTTTATACTTTGTTGAAAGGATTTGCCAGGCCACCAAGTCAGACTGGTGCAGCAAACATTATAGGTGGAGGCTTCGGATTCAGGATTTGCATCACAGAGGACTTGTGCACCTCGCGCTTCCTCTGAAGACTCTCCAAAGCCTTTTATTTTATTTTTTTAAATCTCACATC